TGGGAACAACAGTAATTAAGAGGTGGTTCATTCCATGCTCCTTAAAACCTCCAATCTTTCAATCAGAGGGCTTGCTGCCGGATGTAGTTTATCATCATAACCAGAACAAGCATCTGTATAGCTATAAACGCATTTTTATACACACACACACACATATACATGTGCATGTACCTATGCATATATCCAAGCAAATTTATTTATTTCAAAGAATATTTATGGCATTGTTTTTATTCTTTCCATCTTGTTGTATGGATCAGTTATAACAAATTTAGTATCATACATAAGGAAATTCAACATGGAATAAGCTATACTAGAGGAAGTTACAAAACCAAAATATTAACCTGAAAACTTGATTCATATTCTGAAATAGCCTCATCAGATTGAGACTTTCATATAGATGCTATGCATAGCGACAAACCCATTTATAAATATCTGTATATCAGCTGCATACAACCACTTTCTAAGATCAATGTTTAAAATGGATTTGATTGAGTGAAGCCAGTAGATCTTGATGAAGACCTCACTGATTTGATCCTCATAGACTGGCACTAAAGAATGACAAAGAACAGTACCAAATAACAGAAACCACATCACTTGAGAACATTCAACAGCAGCAATAACTAAAATGGACAGCACATATAAGAAAAAATTGGCATAATCAAAATATTGACTTTTCACACTACTTCAAACAAAAGGTTAAGAAGGAAACCCTCATCAATATTGGAAAGAGTAGTAACATCTACTGGATTTGATAAACCTATTTTCCTGAAAAATTATTTTAAAAGAAAGCTTTTATAAATTTCAATCAACCATAGTACAAGCTACTCAGTCAATGAATACCATTTCCTTATAATAAAACAGCTAATATTACCAGTACCATTAAAGATGAGGAAAACAGATACTACAGTTTGATCCCAGCCCAATAGCCAGAGAATGTAACACAAGTATCACTGGCTGCTCAGTCGATTAATGCCAAATGTTTCCTTATAAAGAAATGGCTAATATTACCACTGACATTACCATACATATGTTTACATATACCCAAATAAATGATAAATGTATAAAGTAGATTTGTAGGAATTACTTATTTTCCAGTTAGCAAATTTACTCCAATATTCTGATCACATTTTTTCTCTTACACAATTTTTTTGTCAGCATCAATGGGGCTCACTTAAATTATTCAGTGTTGTTTTGGCTTACTTGATCAGAGCAAGAATTTTAAGCAATCGATCTAATAAGACCTGATGTCTAGCAAAGTGCAATAACACTAAACATTCATTACATTATTTTCAAGACAGCAACACAAATTCGACAGTTATTGAAATGTAATACGAGCAGGAAAAAAACTCAGCTCCTAATATATGAGACTGTTTCAATAGGAAACTGTCAAAAACAGACAAATACATCATCTATTGTTATTTGTGCGATTATTGCTTATTCATTAATTGGTGAATATACATATTCATAAATACATAGGACTTTATGCAAACATATAACATGCTCAGAAGAACATGCTCATACACATTCTTGTAAAGTTTTCTTGTTTTTTTTCCAGAGCAAAGAGAATATCAGTGAAAAATTCTTGTCAAAAACTTTTTCCTGCAAGTGAGCAAAAGAATCCTTTCCCTTCAATTTCTCATCAACATAGAATGAGAAACAGTCATACTTTGATTTAATTACCAAACTAATCACTCATTTTATTTTAAAGGAATTCCATATTAGTGTCCAATTTGCTTCAATGTTCTTGAAATGAAATAACTTTAATAACTGCCACAAATACTTTTGAAATTTTTTTCATATACTGGAAATCAATTCTATTCTTCTTTATATGTTAAACCCTTTTCCCATGATCAATCATAACTAGTTTTTCACTCATTGTGTCTAGTGTATGACTTGACATAAACCAGTTTAATTCAAATTAATCACCAACCATTTTCATCACCTAATATGATTCTTTATACTAACCTACTTACATAGTTATGATATAAATGATGTTTCTTTTTCTCCTCAAAACAGATTATCATAAGTTACATTTCTTATACATCAGATAATCATTCTACTCAGGTGAAAAAGCTTTGTGCAGTTTAATGACAAAGCTCAGCGCCAAAGTTCTGTTGGTGCTGAATTATTGGTGCAACAACCAGTATTTAGCCACAGACTATTTATATGAAATATTCTTTCAAGTATTAAGTCTTTATCCATGAATGTCACTACTTTCCAGTCCTCTTCTGCTCCTTACACAAACTGAGCCATTTTTGTCTAGTCTCTTAAAACATAAAACCTACCCTGATGAAGTGGGGGGGGGGTGCAAGAAGAGTAGGAGAAATCTAAAGGGTGCAGCTGGTTTGTTGGTTTAGGTAGTTATCTCCCTGGATGAAGAATTCATGGATAAAGGTGGATGAAAATTCTCTTTTGTGGAAGTCTTTAATATTACATTTTATTCATAAATATAAAAATATTTTTCACCAGTCTTGCAAGAAAAATCAGATAGTTAGATATAAATAGACTTTCATATTGTTGAGGAATGTTGATTAAACTTCATCCACTTTATCCTGAAACTGGAAGCAGGTAATACATACCTGATGCAAACAAATATGTTTTTAACTATATTTTAAGTAAAAATCATTTAAGTAATCATTAGATTAATTGAATCTTATATTTCTCTAATGGCTTCTTTACTTTTTCCTGAGAGGTGGATTTTTAACTATTTTAAATTAAAATCCTAATATTATCAACAAAGTTAATTTTGGTTGACAGAAGATTGACATCTAAAACAATTTAAAACCTGATTTAAATAATAAAAATAATTCTTTTAAGTAACTTTATACTATTTTTTGTGATTAAAAATAAAAATAAAACTTTAAAAAATGATATTTAATTGGTGCAATATGTTTTAGAATTTTTACAAATAAATTCTGTGATCACTTGTACAATTTGTAATGATTTTGGTACCAACTTGGTTGAGTGTGGTAATAAAATAAGCACATCCCATCTCCCCTCTCACTTGTAACCATCCACTATCATAAAATAAACATTTCAATGCTAAAGCTGAATTAGTAAAATAAAACTTTTTTCTATTTTTTTACATTAAAGTTTACCTTGTACAAGGTCCTCAAGGTAGAGTGAATCTTAATAAGCTTCTACTTAGACCTGTTGCTCTATTAGATTGAGATATACAATTACCATTTTATGTTGACATATCTTGATGTTATGCTTACAAAATATGAGTCATGTAGGTATTTATTTGTGTGCCCACATCGCAACAGAATATGACTCAAGGTCAGAGTTTAATGTGGAATTTCGGAAATGTCATACAAAAATTGCTCAATCTTTTAAAACTTCCCCTCTTGGAGATGCCTCAGACACTGAGTAATGTCCCCAGCTCCCACCCAAAGGAGAAGTACTGCCTGAGGAGATAGTCCCCTGGGACATGAGCTGATATTAATTTCAACTTTCTTAGCATAAAGATACCAGATGTATCAGGTATCTTCACTGAGATATGATCAAAACCATAGTATTTTGTGCATTATAAAACAATGGACATTGGCTTTTATATTTATCTATATTTCTGAAACATGGTATTATAATTACTTACACTATTTACATTGACCCCAAGGACACATGGCCCAGTGGATAAAAGCATTGGTTGAAGTAATCCAGTGATTTGACTCAAAGAGTTGTGAGTTCAATCCCTGGCCACAGCACAGGTGAACAATAACTTAGAGAGTTACATTACTAAAGGAAAATAACCGAGATATCCAGAAAATGTATGGAACTAGAACAATGTACCCCTACGAAGTAAGTAAAGGAATTTGTTCAAAATTCCAACATATATCTTCAAGTAAATGGCAAACCATTATCCATCCTACATATCCTCATAATATGCATCTCTTACTCCCTCCTTGTGAACCATGACAGCCTCATTTAGTAAGTGGCTCTGGAACAATAATATAAAAAAAGAAAAATATAGATTAGATTACAAAATACAGCATACATAAAGATTAGAACATCATCCTGAAGAAGATGATATAAAAATAAAGAGACTACCTATGAATGATTGGTGACACAACCAACTGAAATGTTGACTGGAAATTGCTCCAAAACTTAATATCATAGAACATAAAAAAATTAAATCTATATATTAATACTATACTAAGTATCTACTAAAAACAGAAAATATTAAATTAAGTGTTACCCACTTTTTGAAAAGATCAAAGGGTTAAATGAGTTTTAAAACTCAAGACAGGAAGCACCGATGTCTAAGTTTTCTTTTCTTTCCATTCTTTTCCCACTCTCCTCTACTCTCTACTTTTCTTCCTTCCTTCTTTTGTTTGCTTTTCCCAAATCTTTTGTCAAGTGGAAATGAGCAGATAAGTAATTGATGGTGCTATTGTGTGTAGGTGAGGGCATGTAAAACTTTTTACTGCGCATGGATATCACTGTGATCCTAGACAAAAGTGACCATTGATCTGAGGAAAAATATGCAGAATCTGATCCTAGGTAGATGTATCACTGCATATGTAATAACCCAATATTTCTTTTTTACAAGTACTATGCTAGTTAAGTACTACACCACATCAAATTAAAAATATTTGCCCAAAATGTGAATAATTACCCAGAAAAGTTTTAATAAACATGTTTTTGCACAGGGATAGAGAAATGTTGCTACAAATTGTTTACTGGAAATTTTGAATGAAATAAAGATGGCGATGAATATTGCACTAAAATAAGAAAACTCATCTTGAATCAATTTTTATACAAAATAACATTTTACTCTAGATTTTGACTTTTCTTTTTTATTCTAATGTCTCATCCAGTTATTTCCATTATCAAAACTTCTTTTTTTTTGCTAGTCATGTGTTTTAGATTAGAATAAATAGAACTTTTCTATAGCAAATAAATATATTTAGAAGCAGGGGTCCTTCAGTCCACTGGCATAATCATAATTTTGTCAGTGATACAAAGAGATTGTATTCTTAAAAGTAAAAGTGAATATTGTCATGTTTTGTTCTTTATTCTTTGCTTTCCTTTTCTCCAATTTACTTTATTCCCTTGAAGCAAAACATAATTTTTTTCTTCCCTTTTTCTTTCTCACCTACATTTCTTCATTTCATTCTTATTGTTTATTTAGCTTTTTTCCTTTCATTCTCTTTCTTCTTCCTTTCCTTTTTCTCCCATATTATTTCTTCTTTTTCTCCACATTTCTTTCCTTATTTTTCCCCCTTTATTCCCCCTGTTTCCTTTCTTCTCTTTCTTTTATTCTCTCTCTTTCCTTTCTTTCTATCCACATCTTTTATTTTGCAGCTGATACGGCCCTTTCCACCACTTATAAACCAATCAAGCAATCTTTATCCTTGAATTCTTCATCCAGGGAGATAACTGCCCAAACCAACAAACCAGCTGCACCCTTCAGATTTCTCCTACTCTTCTTAGCCACCGCCCCCCCCACCATCAGGGTAGGTTTTATGTTTTGAGAGGCCAGACAAGAGTGGCTCAGTTGAAACCAGTTTGTGTGAGAAGCAGAAGAAGACTGATGATCTGGAAAGTAGTGACATTCATGGATAAGGACTTAATACTTGAAGGAAACTGTGGGAAATGCCCACCACTTAAGCATTTTGCCACTTTTTCTTTAACCAAGATAGATTAAATGAGAGTCCAGTGGCAATGGGAAGAGATTTTAAGAGTATTTCCTTCTTCAAGTAGGGAGAGCACCTCTGGGTCTCAAAAACACTTTGGAATATTTAGCAGGAAGCAATAAAAAGAATTTTATATGACAATCATTAAACTTTTACCATTAATTTTCATTTTTAATGATGATTATTGAACCAGAGACATTTTTCATTTTCAAAAGATCAAAGAATTCTATTTTCTTTTTACAAATACATGAAAAGAAATTGTTTTCTAAATTTTTATCAAGTTGGTATATAATAATTGATTATGTTTTTCCACAGTATTTCTTTCATATATTAGAAATATGAAATAAAAAATTCTCTTTGTGAGTGAATATGAGCATAATATATATATATATATATATACATATATATACACACATGTATATATATATATATATATATATATATATATATATATATATGAAATAACTACTGAAATTGTGTTACTGCCCCTGGTTGGCAGCTGACAAGGTAGGGTATCACACATTCTTTCACACATTGTATGTAGAAAATATATTTATATCAAGACATACTCATGCATATATACACACACACAAACACACATATGTATATAAGTGTATAAGTATCATTTGTATTTATCACATTCCTTTCAAAGAACACAACCAAGTAGTGAATCCAGTCATCACTGAGTGGCCCATACATATGGCACAATATATATATATATGTTTGTATGTACATATGTATGTATTTTTTAAAGAAGTAATGGATTTTTATTCATTAATTGGGCAAATATTATTAGTACATATATATATATATATATATATATATATATATATATATATATAGAGAGAGAGAGAGAGAGAGAGATAGATATAGATATGGATATATGTTCAAATCCTGCTGGAGAGCACATATTTTTCTTTAATAAGATTTCTTGAATATTCAGGCCAGTAGATGAAAATAAATAAATATGGTGTTTAAGAAATAGACAGAGTGTCTACTCAAATATAAGTATCCATTGAAAATAATGTTAAAAGTAAGATATATATATATATATATATATATATATATATATATATATATATACATACATAATAATAAAATAATATAAATTTTATTCCTCACTGTTTGGCACAACACTGAATTTCATGCACATGCCAATCATCAGGCATGGATTGAAAACAGACCTTTGCAAAAATTTAAATAATAATATTTAAAATTTACTAAAATCTGTTTTCAATCCATGCCTGATGATTGCCACATTCATAAAATTTTGTTCTATAACAGTGAGGAACAAAATGTGCATTTACTATTAATATTATGAATTTTGCTATGTTATTTTACATTGAGCACTGTTTTATTACCAACAGTACTTCTCGTACAGTAATATATATATATATATATATATATATATATATATATATGTAGGTATATGTACATATATTTTGTATTACTTTAGATATATCTGTTTAAAAAGCAAATCCATTTATAGGCAAACCACTGTCAGGCCTAATGTGCTTGAACCACTCAGCCACAGAAAGCCTTCACAGTCAACCAAAGTCCAAAGGGGATCCAGGTGAAAGCCCTGCCAGAAAGTACATGTTCTTTATTAAAACTCACAAATACATAGATCAGTAGATGTAAATTTACACTGTTTAAAAAACAGGAATTTCTGCTCAGACACATGTATTGAGTAAATATAAAATTTTGAAGTAATAAGAAATAATGTCAGATTATCAATAAAAATCCATTAAACTCTTAAAACTTAATTTGTTTACATAAACTCCAAGGAAGAATCAGCAATACTATTGGTCCTGATCTGGCAGCTCAGCTTCAGTCACTTTCCCACTGGCATAAGGTTGCCTCTTTGTGCCATGGTAATTGTTCAAATGAGCTCTGTGGTACCTAGAGTTTTTTTAATTTAAGCAGAGTACTAGACTGGCATCAAAATAACACCAATTTATAGTTGAGCTGGAGAGATGAAACCATATTTTCTATGCTAACAGTTTCTTTTCTCGCACTTCTTACTTGTGGGACACCCTTTCCGTTCCATGCTTTCGAGCCACCTTCAATCTGCCAAAATTTAAATGCAATGTCAATCACTATCTACTGTCTTCCTGATTATTCTTTTCTCTTCCTGTTTATTATTAATGTTTCTGTTCCTAATTCTGTAACCTCTTGTCTCTTTGTGGCTTTACTGCCTTGCATGAGGTGATACTATATAAAAAATAAAAAAAATTTGTGTGTGTTTGTGTTTGGTAAAGGTATAATTGACTCTGAAGTGATGACTCAGCTTCATCTACTTGACCACTGGTGAAATACTCGAGCCACCTTTTTACCTTAACCAGAACATTGAAGCAATCATGTTTCTCATCTATCATTCAATTTCACACCAACTTCTTTTCTGTTCATCTATCCTCATAATTGCTATGATCCACAGGTTTTGTTTTTTTTTTATGATTTTCTTCTAATCAATTCCTACTGCATTATCAAAAATGCATTTTTTTCTGAAGAGAATCATTTAAAAATCAATTTGTTTTGGTTGTTGTTTTTGCAAGTAACACCAGGCAAAACCTTTTATACTGAAAAATTTCAAATGTCATGAAATCCCTTATTTAAAAGAATCTGAAGATCTTTTTCATCTTTGGTATTTTATGCTATTAAATGTCATAAAGACTAGGAATAATATAAGAACCACTTAGACAAATGCAGTCTGAGAACAAAGACTGGGCTGAGCTCTACTATTTGAACAGGTAGAAAAGTGTTCATTCTAAAAGCAAATCCACTTACATTGGGATTATGTAAATTCAAAATAACCATGCACAACGGATAAGGAATAAAAAATAACAATATTAAAAGAAGCAGAAAATACTGCATCTATTAATAAAGTTAAATCCTAAACAATTAGCATTTAATAAATGTTTAATTAAACTGGAAATTTCCCTTTTCTGATTAAAACAAATGCCTGTACATTTTAACTTTTCACTTATATTTAACTTCAAATTACTATTCGGTTTTGTCTGCAAAACAGTCATAAAGAAATTCAATACCATAAGGATTGCATTCATATTTAGATTCACAAACATGTGAACTCAGAGATTTGCACAATATACAATTTAAAGGATAATGAATGCAAATGCATTAGTAATGAATGTGAGATCATGTAACAAATGCATTTAATACGATTCATGCACTCCAAAAAAAATGAATATTTTCATAAAAATATGGCAAAAATAGAAAGAGAATGTGAGTGCAATATGTGGACAAACACAAAGACACATCAACAGATTATGACTTTAGGTATACAAAAATATTTGTGGCATTTATATACGAGTGAAACTCCAAAAGTAATACTTCTTACTCATTTCCACTAAAACTAAAACAGATATATGAAGTGCAATAACCTGATTAGATAGACAAAGTTTTCAACTACAAAACACTACCTCCCCACATAGTCACCATTATTAGATATCCATTATTATCTGCAAGGAAAAAATGCCTATAAATAGTCACTCAGAATTCAACTTATCACAAACATTGTTGTCACTACTGTTGAAATGTAGTATTCCCCACTAACTGTGCTTATACCCATTGATTTGTCTCTGGAAACACATTCAACAAGTGCAAATGATGATAAATGATACACTTCTGCTTCTGTTGAAGCTTGAATAAGCATGGAATAATAATAATACAACACAAAATGTACGTAACAAAATGTATTGAAACAATGAAAAAAGGTACACAATATTTACAGGTAGTTTTGGTATATTCTTGGGAAGACTGTTCCTGCAGAATGGGTTGACTAAGTCGCAGTCGGGCAGAGTCTCTGGATTCGATCTCTTAATCTTCCGTCGTCTTCCGGTACCAACCCATATTTATATGGTCGGTACTCCACTTATGTAAATTAGGTGTATCATACACAACAGCTTCATAGGCATTTTCATGACATGCCTTTTTGACATATTGCCACTCAATTGTTATCTGTTACAAGGCAAAAATGGGCTATAGGCAGAAAGGTTCAACCTCTACTGATATATCTACACCAAATGTAGTGATATATAAGTGACTGCCTAATTAGCATAGCTAAGATATAGAGTTTATATAAATGCCTAAGCATTAAGTGGAAGAACAGAATATAATATGTGAGGATTGTATTCTGGCTGGCAAAGGAGCAAAATCCTCTACCAATAATGTTGGCTCAAGCCTCAGGGGTATATCCCCTCAGGCACTAACTTTCCTTTGGTAGAGGCTGGGTTTATTATTACTATTATAATTATTTTAGTGATATGTAAATGGCTGCCTAATTAGCATATCTAAGGCATAAAGATTATATGTGCCCAAACAGTAAGAGGCGAGGCAGAATATGATATACAAGATTAACTACTGCTGGACTGAGGAAATACAAAGAAAATCATATTTCATAATGCCAACATTCTACCTTTCGAAACAGAATAGGAGGTATTACTTTCATAGTGACATTCATAAAATTTATAAACATTTACACTGTCCAAAAAAGAATTAACTAATGTTTTTGTCATATTTAATAAGTAATGTATGAATGTCTCAGTTAACTGATGAAGTAAGAATCCACATTTGGTAATCAGAAATTGGCCAATGAAAATCAAATTAGAAATATCCAATTGCTAAATAAGTAATGACCTTATCTACACTTTTAAGTATGAAGGAATGAAAGCAAATACAATTTGGTAGCAAAGGCACAGGTTTCAATAATAAGTAATTAAATATTTTGTTTGATGAAATATAAGATCCCTATGTTTCCCCCAAAAAAGGCACAAACAATATCTCTATGGTCTTTTTCTGTTTCCTTCAGTCATGTCCCTTCAGGACACTGGAAATCATGGCTCTTCACTATTTCTTGTCCTTTGTAACTTTTGATAAATTTTGTCTTTTTGTTATCTATCCTAAACCTTGTCCCACCATCCATTCACAAGCTGACTAGATTAGTTATGTGCTGTTTGCTTGTTTCCCTCTTGCCGTCAATCTGTCTTGTGAGTCTCAAATTTTCCAAACCCTCTATCCTCATTATATTAACTATAAGTGTCTTTTTTGCTTCCACTTTCTCTAAAACATCATTGTTGCTCACATGTTCTGCATCTTTCTGTAGAAACACATTTCTGTTGCTTCAAGTCTCTTCTTCATTTATGAGGAGATTGTCCAGCATTTACTGTCATAGAAGGACTGATATCACATAACAGCTCAGTACATTTTTTTCTTTGTTTCTAATAAAATTTTATTGGAGAACTGGTTTTTCATGGGAAAGTTTTGCACACACACACACATACACACATACTTACACACACACACACACACACACACACACACAGACACACATATGCACACATTTGTAACAGTTAGCAGCTTTTTCTCTTTTATTTCTAAATAAAAGATTTTTCTTTTTTAGTAGCTTTTTAATTCATTTTGCCAATCATTCGATTTAGAATGTTAAAGTATCATTAATGAGATGAGGATACACATAGCTTTAAAAACAACCTACAATTATATCATGTTGTCATCTGCATTTTCAATTGTGCCTTTTTGCTCTGATGAAACATTTGTCCGAGTTTGCACTTATATATTTCATTCAACAACTTGCATTTGATTATGATAAAGTTTTTTAATCTATAGCATTTATTCTTTTTTTATTGTTACTCTTCACCTCATTTCTTTTACAATTATTGAACAGCTCTGAATAAGTTTCAGCCTTTTTATGATAAAGATTTTTTTAGGAAGATTCTCTCTCGTATTTCATTCATTTTATTTCTTCTCATTTTATGTTATTCTTTAACTCTGTCTTTTATTTTCTTTCATTATATAGCATTTCATTTCTTACACTTCTCTCTCTCACTACATATATATATATATATATATATATATATATATATATATATATATATATCCTTCACTTTCTGTCTTTTTATGTTTTTTTCTTTCTCCTATGTTGTTTCAGTTTTTCTCTTCATTTTTCTTCTAGTTTCCACTTGATTTTAAGCTTAATTTTCTTCTATCCTTTTCTTTCTTGCACTCTCTCAGTACCTTTCTTCCTTTCTTGCTCATCACTTTTCTTTTTTGTCTTCTTAATTTGATGCTATTTACCACAACTTTTCATGTTTTCTGTTACGATATTTATCAACTTCAATGTTTCTATTTGTGTATTTATTTATTTCTCTTTTGAATTTCCATTTTCTTTTTCTCTTTGTCATTCTTTTATTGCCTCTTATTTCTTTTTTATTTCAACAACTTTGACTTTCAATCTCCTACGATCTCTCTCCCACTCTCTCTTCTTCTTCTACTCTATCCATCTTTTTCCTTAATTTCAATAGATTTCCTCTCTATCTACACATATATCTAAACACTTGTTTCTTTTTGTCACTGTTCATTTCTTTCAACCCACTCTTTCTTTTATCAATTTCATCTTCTCAACATCTTGTTTAATTGCATGCATTAAGATGAAAAAACTAAAAAGAAGGCTGTCTTTGAAAGTAAAATCTATTTTAAATAGATGCCGTAATCACAAGATGCTTGACATAAGGAAGAAATAATTACAGTATCATGCTTCTGTGAATGTAGACAATTAATTTTCTGGGAATCCATTTCACTTCTGCTTTCCACTTTTACCATTCGTAAGAGACCGAATGCATAAAAAAATACAACTGAAAGCATGTTAGAAAATGTCTATGGCACATGAGCTTTGCCTGACAACAAATTTTTTACCTTTTCTAAGATCCAAAATTTATCAACTAACAAAAGTGATAACTCTGACCTAGATAATTTTCAGCTTTTTGAGTTTATTCTTCACATTTAAGTAACAGCTAAAATTTTGTGGATTTTATTTCCAGATGTTTTTCATTCATTTTCACATTTTCTTAAACTTTCAATCATTTTACTCTTAGAATATTTGTTTATCTTCACTGATCAGTTTTCCATTCATTCTTCACTCAATCCCTGAATTTTTAGCCAATATTTTACAAATAAAAGTTTCATTCAATTTTTTAATCAGATGTTCATGAAAATAAATTTAAAAGATCATATTCTTTCTTTTCATATAAAATAGTTTTATAAGTCTTTATTATGATCACTGAATTGTCTGTAACATTGTAAACAAATTTTTATCAGCCATGCAAAAATCAAATCAAAATGGCTGCCATCTTCAAGGCGAAAATATTCTCTTCTGATATCTGTAATTTGTTATCTATCTTAAGCTTTCCTTCTTTGTTCATAACAATGAAAAATGAATACCACATGAATAAATCCCAAGCTAAAGAAGTAAAAAATAAATAACAAGACAAAATATTTTAAAAATTTATTTAATTTGCAACTAGTATAATATTAAGATTTACTTAAAAATATAATGGCATTAGTCATAGTGAATTTTCATATAATAAGTAAACTTTCAATAACTGCAGTATACTTTTAAACTCCAATTTATTTACATTTTTAAAACAAAGGTGTGTGTAAGTTGATTTGTAAGGATGTATCTTTTCATCATAAAACAATATTATTTTAAATGTTCATAGAAATGAACATGTATCTGATCTAGAAAAAGTTCATATATTTCATTAACTCTTGTTACCCATATTTTACAAGAGGAATGTAAATACAAGGATATTGACTTAGAGAGGTTGTCATGTAGTTTCAGTTATCAGTGGGTCTTTTGATATCCAGCTCTTCCACATATTTATTTGGGTAAAAGGAGTCAATTTATGTAGATTTTTGTAGATTAGCTTTCATTTTTATATTGACTGACCACAGCCTATTTCTAAGTCTCATGTTTATCTTTTTTTAGGAGATTCAAATTTATTTTTCATTAATTTTCTCAAACTAACAGCAATGGGTTGAAAATTCTTATTTTACAGCTGGTGGCTTGCTTTCTACTATGTTTACAACATTTTAATCTTACTTTAAATTTTATCTATTTTTATATGTGTGTGTATGTGTGTGTGTGTGTGTGTGTGTGTGTGTGTGTGTGTGTGTGTGTGTGTGTGTGTGTGTGTGTGTGTGTGTGTGTGTGTGTGTGTGTGTGTGTGTGTGTTTATGTTAATCCACTTTTTTTACATACCTCTAAAATCTTTACACATTAACTAATTTAATAATTAAATTTTGGATATTACTTCAAAAATTGCACACAGACATAGTAGAGAGCACATCACATGACTTGCTATATCCAATTAGGTTACAGAAACAATTTACTTAATTTGGAGCTGTGTTTGTAGAGAATTGTAAAAGAAAATTTTGTATCTACTGAATTTAGTAAGATTTATTTGTAAACATCTCTTATTTTTTTTGCTTCACTTATTGGCCATAAAATATAGGAATTTATATCCTCTAATTCTTATGACTCTTTAACAGTTGTTATAAAATAAATAATATTGCATTTCAGACTATCTATTGTTTTATTTTTCATGAAAGACATTTTAAATGCAAGGAATGCAGATCTGACTGATTTGATTTTAATTATTTATTTTCATTTTACAAATTATAAAGTTTTTCATTATAAATATTGATTTATATTTCATTTTTATTCATGGAAAAAATGTGTGCTCAAAATATAAGGCAAGGTAAAGAATTTTAAGTGTAGTTTAATTGGTGAAAAGAGTTCTGGATGCTAAGCATGTTGATTCTCAATGATGTAAACAATGTTTAAAATTTGTTTTACTTTTCCAATGAAATTTTTTAAAATTCCTTTTGTTTAATAAATTGTCATTTGTCACATATTTTACATCTGAATCTATCCAAGACTTTAATCACTGAACTTAACAATTGTCAGTCCCTTGAAAGTGAATAGTAATAATAATAATAATAACAAAATATGGTTACAGATTTCTATGACGATGATCTCACATAGATGAAAACAAGGAGATTATTGCTTAACTATGAATTTTCTCTCATTATTTTTGCTATCTTAGATCAAGTGATCTACAACTTTACTGTGCACCCAAGCACACTTATGAGCTTGGTCAATACTTAGATGGGTCATTGCTTTGGAATACTGTAAGCTTAAATGTGTGGGTTGTGTAATGGAAAATAAGAAATTGGAGAGTTCAAATTTCAGTTGGGTTCATTATATTCACTTACATACTGATACACTTGGGAAAAGTATGAATCCAAATCTTCTCCCCAAGCTATAGGTTAAATAGTAGGACTTTTATCTGAAAATTATTTCCAAGAAGCTGTTAATACAATATTCATGCACAGAAAGAAAAGAAGAATTATTCTTACAATCCAAAAAAGTATGTTTCCACTTTAAATAACTTACAATAGGTTGATAAGCTCTAAAAAAAAAAAAAACTAAATAAACAAACTCAGTTAATCTTAATACTAAATGAAGGGAAATGGGTAAGAAAGAGTACATTGCACCAATTTTCCAGAAGAAAACGTGTGGGAATGTATCAGCAAGTCAAACCCCAGTGGTTTGTCTTGCACCAACAAGACATCGATGTCAACAGAGATTCTGTTGTCCATTCATAGTTTGATAACACCAACTTCATAGCATGCACATAACCTTCCCTCAGTTGTCACCACTTCTACATCCTTCTACTTCTATGACTGACACACCATCTTGTTTGCACACAAGCAGAATAAGAGACCCTGACTTGGATGCATTTGGTTCAATGAGAACAATCAGTATCTCCCTTGAAGCATTTGTTAAACAGTTGATACCTTCTCCAACAAGAATTGTTCTCATTCATACTTGGCTCTTTGGTGAGCTGAGGCAATATACAGGTAGTGATGCTGCCAAGATTCTGGCACTGATTTGAATAGAAACAGTAAATGCTTGATCATTGATCAATCACAGCTGATCTGTGGTTGGAACCAAATATACATAAAACTGGCATTTTTTGTGTACAGGAGCATTCTTTCAGCTGATGGTGTGAAGACAAACTTGGTTGCTTATTTCTACTGTGGATTGGTTTTCTCTTTTCTTTACTTAAGGAAATGTCTTTATCTGTAAATTAGCATTCAAAACTGTATTTCATAGTGTGAAACATGTGACGATCTCAACAACCAATGAAGTCCCAAAACATCAAGATTTATAATATTGTTTTTTCTTGTAAAACAATAAGTGAAAAAAATATTAATTTGTTAGCGGCTGCCAAAAAATAAAGTTTGTTTTTAACAATTGATATCTTCTCAATATAGCCAAAATGAAAGCCATCTGTGACATATTAAACCAAATTTTAAACTGTGTAGGTTTAGTTTGGTTTGTTTTGGTTTGTTTAATGGCACATCAACTCCTTATGGGTCATTTACTGCCAAAATTTAATTTCCTTAGGACCTTTGGTATATTTTTCTTTTTTTTCACTAATAAAATCTATTGCTGGAATTTTTTTACTATAAAAATGTATTTTTATACTTCCATAGTGTTTTAACCCCAGTTTGGGTTTTCACTATTTTCCCCCTGGCTGGGACTCTAACAAATGCTATCACCTTGAAGCTGTGTAGGGATCACTAGATATGTCAATGCTTTAATCAAAATCAATACAATTCATCTTTTAGTTCTGATCAGTTTAATTCATAAGGATTTAAAGTCGGTTTACTCTGAAGAAAACTGCTTGAATAACTTAGTTTTCTTCTTTCATGATAGACAAGTGATAAAATTAAATCAAGAAGACAGGGACTGATACATGGAAATTTTAGTGAAGTTTTCCCTCAAGTATTAAAGTGAGTTAAAGCATCAGATATCATTTTGTTTCATTACTTTATGGTCAATTAATTTTGATCTCTCAAAATTTAATATCAGTTGTCATGGATTCGATCCAGCAAGTAGGTAAAAAAATTTAACAAAAAACTAACAATGTTTTAATAAATTTTCATAAAGAAAATAAAGGATTTATGATCAGGAATTTTGAAAGGCTTTTGGTTTTTGCATTTGAATGGGAGAAAGAATCTGACTTAGAAGTAGAAGAGTTAAAGAATTGAAGAGAAATAAATGCAGAAAACACTGTGATAGTGCAGAGAAGAATTTTCTGTATTAAATTTAAAGAATGAGACCTTCATCAGAAAAAATATTTTCTTCACTTGTGTAGACATATTGACACAATCTTCTTTTTATTCTCTTTTTTATATCAAAACCTCTGACTGATCT